TAGTTCAGAGTACCGGCAAATACCACCTCTGACTGAAGATTTTACAATATCCTTCCCCTGCCATGCCCACCAAGCCACACCCACAGAACCAGTAGAAAAAATATTTGAATCCTACCACTGGTAAAAGCCATGTTAGATGAACGTATAATAATAATGGAATTAATCGAATATATTAATAGATATATTATGCTCATACCAAAGGAGACAACAGATAAATAATACAGGCTGATATCTCTATTGAATGCAGATTATAAAATATATCCTTCAATAATTGCAGAAAGACTTAAAAGATTTTAAAATCAATTTGTACATCCAGACCAAAATGGATTTTTGCCTAAGAGACAAATTAAAGAAAATATCAGAATAATTTTAAACACATTGGATTACTATGAAACACATCCAGGGAAGCAAATGGCATTGATCTTCCTAGGCACAGAAAGCATTTGACAATTTGAACTAGCAATTTATGTTAGCACAGCTGATAGATATGGACTTTGGGGAGAAATTTATTAATATGATTAAGGTGATGTATTATAAGCAAACAGCAAAGGTGATGATAAATGGAGACATGACAAAGAAGGTTACTATTTAAAAAGGTACAAGTCAAGGATGCCCTTTGTCTTCCCTATTATTTATACTGACACTGGAGGTACTAAATAGAAATATTAGACAAAAAATAGAGACAAAAGTTTCAAGTTGATCTGCTTGACAAAAAGGTTTGGAAATAAAAAAAAGAAAAATATAAGTTACAGGCATTTGCAGATGATTTAGTTTTTATTTTGGAAGATCCATTAAAAACAGGGCCTAAGCTAATGAAAAAAATTGAGGAATATGGCAAAATGGCAGGATTGAAAATGAACAAAGAGAAAACTAAGATATTAGTTTAAAATCTCACAGAAATGCAGAAAAAAGAGTTAATGAATAGATCTTCAGATTACAAAAAAAAATACTTAGGGATTAATTTAACAGCAAGATGTGTAACTATCAAGGAAGATAATTGTTATAAATTGATACAACAAATTAAAATAGATCTGGAGAAATGGAAAAATCTGCAACTATCACCGAGTGGTAGGATAGCTACAATAAAAATGAACATATTGCCGAGATAATTATATTTATTTCAAACAATTTCAATAAAACTGGAGAAAAAATACTTTGAGGAACTTAATAAAGTAATATTAAGATATATTTGGCAAGGGGAAATAAGTTTAAAAATGCTGCAAGAATCAAGAAACAGGAGGCTTTGGGTTACTGAATTGGAAATTATTATTATCAGGCAGTAGTACTCACTTGTGTGAAAGAATGGATTGTGTTGAGGAATAAAAGGCTATTGAGTTTGGAGGGACATGATTTGCAACTGGGCTGGCACACCTTCTTGTGATATGGAAAAAATAAAATACATGGTTACTTTCAAAGGCACTATATTAGGAATGCATTATTGTTAGTATGGGAGAAAATCAGAGAACAGCACTATTTGATAATACCAGTCTGGCTCTCAACAATGGAAGCACTGAGTCATCCAAATGTTGTTAACACAGAAAATATTGTTAGATATAAAGACATTTTGAATGAGAGGGAGGAACTCAAAAGTAAATAAGAATTGAGGGATCAAGGGATTGATTTGACACAGTATTAACAAGTGCAGATACATTCTAGATATGAGAAAGATGCAAAACTATATGGTTTCTATAAAGAACCAACAGAATTAGATATTAACTGGGGTAGAAGAAAAATTGATTTAAAAAATGTATAGCTACTTACTATACATTAAATTGAAAGATGAACAAGTAAAGGAAACAATGATAGCATGGACAAAAAATTTCAGTTATACAATTGAACTAGACAAATGGCAAAAATTGTGGGATAGGAATTACATATTAACAATGTTAACCGCATATAAAGAAAATTTGTCTAAGATGTTCTATAGATGGCATTTTAAACTAACGCGGTTGGTAAGGATGTTTAAAAACAAATCAGCTAAATGCTGGAAGTGCCACCAGATACCTGGATCATATTGGTGGACTTGCTCAAAAGCAAAAAAATCCTGGACAAAAATACATATGTGAAAAAATGATAAAACAACATATTGATTTAAAACCAGAAATATTTCTATTGGGGATTCTACCCGAAAAATACAGTAAGGAAAACGCATATTTAGTTATTCATATATTAACTGCTGCCAGAATTGTATTTGCACAAAATTGGAGAGTGAAGAGATACTTACAGATGAGAATGTGATTAGGAAAGTATTAGAATGTTCAAAAATGAATAGATTAACGCTAGCAATTAAGGAGAAAGAGCAAACTGAATACTATATGTTATGGGATCTATTTTATCAATAATAAAAATGGAAGTTAGAAACAGGAGAACAAAATAAAGAAGATATATTAGAAGAGATAAGTGAATATTATGACTAGTATGTTGAATATTATTATGTTAACATTGTAAAATTAATATATGGAATATTACTATGTTAAATATTGCAGAATTAATATTAATGTAATGAAGTATGTTGCAATTTTGATTATTGTTTAACAAAGATATTTGTACCCAGACAACACATTGTTCAACTAAAGATGGAATGATTGTATTTAAAATTATATCTATATCTTGAACTTCCAGAGTCACTGGATTGAAAAACAAATAAATAAAAATTATTAAATTCATTTTAATATGTTTTAAAGTAAAATGCAGCTGACAAAAAATAGCTCAGTTCTCAAACACATTATGCAAAGTTCAAATGTAGAATTGCTCAGTTTTCATTTAGCACTTGTTGCTATTGTTCTTTTCCTCTAGCAGATAAATATAATGCTTTCATAATTTTAACAGAACACTTCTGGAGAAATAAATTTTAATCACTCTCAGTCTAAATGCACAGGAAGAAGGATGATCTCTTTGTTGTTTTATTGATTATCTCTTTGTTGTTTTATTTTAGAAAAAGAAAAGTACTGGATTTTTTTTTAAAGTAAGGGGAGAAATTCATCCTTCCCCTTTATATTGTTTTATACAGCATTCCCATTCAATTAGTCCAGCCTTTAAAATTAATCATCTTATTCCAAATTAAGTTCAATTCAGCATTTTGGATGGAGGATGGAAATTAACTTAAATATGTCATTGGAGAAGTATTGGCGCAGCATTTATAATGTTCAGATTCACTATTAGTGTTCCAGATCTTCCACTGGAGAATTTTCAAAAGCATGAAATAATCTGAGCCTATAAAGCAACAAAAGCAATGCACTATCTGAGCTAATAAAAAGCATCTCCAATATAGAATGTTAAATGTACCATAAACTAGGGATGTCAATCAACATTACATTTCTGGCATTTTATTTTAAGCAAATTTGAGTTATAATTTTATACTGATTTGCAATAAGATACCTATATTCTAACAATTAGAAGTAATGTTATTATTGATTTTTTAAGAGATCCCTCTCCATTTATTTTTATTTTATTTATTTATTTGTCAATAACTTACAAGATAATAAACATAGGTATAAATATAGGAAATGGATACGAATAATTGTGGACAATAGGACAGAGATGGTAGACACGATTGTGTGCTTATGCATGCCCCTTACATACCTCTTAGGAAAGGGTGAGGTCAATAGTGGTTAGTTTGAGGGGAAAGGAGCGTGGGTTTGGGGATGTGACAACAGAGTCAGATAGTGTGTTCCAGGCATTGACCACTCTATTGCTGAAGTCGTACTTTCTGCAATCAAGTTTGGAGTGGTATACATTAAGTTTATATCTGTTGTGTGCTCTTGTATTGTTGCAGCTGAAGGTGAAACAGTCAGCAGCGATTGGTAGTACATTAAAACAGATTATTTTATAAACTATGTTTAAGTCCAACCGTAGGCAACATAGTTTTAGGTTGTTCAAATTCAAAATCTCAAGCTTGCTGATGTAGGGTATTCTATTGCAAACAGAGAGGAGTGTAGTACTCTTCTTGTGAAATACTTCTGGACCAGTGGTGGGATTCAATTTTTTTTTAACTACCAGTTCTGTGAGCGTGAATGTTATATACCTGTTTCCATGGTATATAATACTAGCATTTGTCTCCCTCATATCTCGTTCTAGTTTGATTTCATTGTAGAGTTTTAAGCAATGATGATCATTAATATTTTTTAATATTATCTCAGGAAGTCAGGGTTCCAGAAAAATCCAACTCCAATTAAAAACTCCGAGACAGGCATTTCCTCAAAGTTTCCTTTTATTAGAATAGTTATACTGGCACATCTGGGAAAATCTGAATCTGAGAGTTCCATGTTTTCCCTTAGTAATTCAAAAGTCAAAAGCCAACCCCTCCCACCCATCAGTCCATCACATGGTCCAATCACAACCATCCCTCCAAGCACTCCTCCTCCAGGTGCAGGAATAACATGACCTTGACCGAAAAGAAGAATGCCATTATGTCTAACTACCAACACTCTAAAAATCTCCCCCTCCTACTTTCCCAGGCAGAGGAATGTGGCAACATGGAAACTTCTGGTTCTAATATAGCTTCCAAAGCTGACACAAGAGAGGTAATTAGTAGGAATTGCAAGCAGTGAGACATAAAATAAGTGATACATGTAAAATAAGAAGAAATTGTGATAAATATCTTATGTTTCTTTCTTCTTCAGGCTTCTTCACCTAGAATAGCTGTTCATTTAAATAAACAAAACCAACTTGTTTTCTGGTCTGCTGCTTGATGTATATTGGCAGATAAAACAAGTTCTCTTTCATTCTTGACTTCATTTTGAACACAAAGGAGAACTACCGGTAGTTCAGAGAGCTGTGTTTTGCATGACACAGTCAATCTATTTTTTTTCTGCAGGATGATTCCAAGAACTTCCAGATTCTGAATAGTTAATATTCTGCTGTGTCAATTGGAAGTTGACCAGTGGTGGGATTCAAATTTTTTACTACCGGTTCTATGGGCATGGCTTATTTGGTGGGCGTGGCTTGGTGGTCATGTGACTAGGTGGGTGTGGCCAACTCAATGTCACTCACGTCCAAAGGTGCCTCGCCTGGCTCCTTCCCTCCGAGCTGTTCCTTATCACGCCCAGTCTCAACGTATCTATAGTTTTGTAAAAATGTTGTTCACCCTTTTTTGACTTTATTATCTGCATACTATAGATGTACTTTCATGGACCACTGAAAGGAGGAAATGGCTCACATGCTTTGCCCAAGAGTATGATAGGCAACAGGTTTTTAATGGGCTGCCAGTAAGAAGGGAGAATGTATTTTCCAAAGCACCAGAAGGCAAGCAAGAAGCAATGGATGGAAACTGAACAAAAAGAGAACAAAAAGAGAACCTAAAACTAAGGTGAAACTTCCTGACAGTGAGAACAATTAACCAGTGGAACTGCTTGTCTCCAGAAGTTCTGGGTGTTCAATCACTGGAAGTTTTTAAAAAAAGACTGAACAACCATTTCTCTGAAATAGTGTAGGGTTCACCCCAAGGTCCCTTTTAAGTGTTATTCTGTTATTCTGACACCTTTCCCAGGACCTCTACTCAGAGTTTGGCATCCTCAGTTTTCCTGTGCAGGGGGTTGGACTAGAAAAACCCCGTAGTCCCTTTCAACATTGTTAAACACATGTCTATTTATGCTCTGGACTATAGACATTGAATGCATGTAAACCATGAAAAATACCTAGGCAAAAGAAAGGCAGTAAAATCACTCTAGGTGTAGGGACACTGTAAAATATTAATATAAGATAAATAATGGAACAATTAAAAATAATAGCACAGAGTTTTCTCGCTCTCTCTCTGCCTTCCAATTTCTCTTTCTTTCTTTCTCTCCCTTCCTGTTTCTTTCTTGCTCTTTTTTTCTTCCTATTTCTTTTTCTTTGTTTCTTTCTCTTTCTCTCTCTTTCTTTCTTTTTCTTTCTCTCTCTTTCTCTCCCTTCCTCTTTCTTTCTTGCTCTTTCTTTTCTTGTGTGTGTCTCTCACTCTCATACACACACACCATACACACTCTCTCCCTTCCTCCCTTTTTCTTTTTCTTCCTTTCTTTTTCTTGCTTTGTCTCTTTCTTTCTTTCTCTCCCTTGCTGTTTCTTGCTTGCTTGCTCTTTTTTCTTGCTATTTCTTTCTTGCTCTTTCTTTCTTCTCTCTCTCTCTTACACACACACACATACACACACACACACACACACACACACACACACTACTGTCTCTCGTGACACACACACCTGGTCTGGGATGAACTGATCCAGTGAGCTCCAGAGCAGTGGGCGGTGGGAGAATGAAGAAAGCGAGCAGCCCCGAGACATCTATCCGCCTTCCCTTTCAGAGCATTTCTGCCACCACTCACTTCTTCCAGGTGACAGAAAGAAGCAGGCAGTAGCAGAGCACCTCCACCACTAGTCATTTCTCCCAGATGATGAAAGGAAGCAGGCAGAGGCAGATGCGCTACTCTGGGAAGCAGGCCCAGGAGTTCCTGCCCTCCCTTTGGGAGCAACTCCACCGCCGCTCACTTTCCCCGGGTGACGAAATGAAGCGGGCAGAGGCAATGGAGGCAGTGGCATGGCTATTCCCACCCTACCTTTCGGAGCACCTCTGCCGCTGCTCGCTTCTCTTGGGTGATGAAAGGAAGCAGGCAGCGGCAGAGGAGGCAGCGCAGCTACAGGAAGCAGCCCCGGGAGTTCCTGCTCTCCCTTTTGGAGCACTTCCGCTGTTGCTCTCTTCTCTCAGATGACAAAAGGAAGCGGGTGGTGGTGGAGGCAGCAGAGACAGTGGAGGCAGCAGTTCAGCTATGGGAAGCAGCCCCAGGAATTCCCACCCTCCCTTTCAGAGCACCTCTGCTACTGCTCGCTTCTCCCAGGTGACAAAAGGAAGCGGGTGACAGTGGAGACAGCAGACACAGTGGACGCAGTGGTGCAGCTACGGGAAGCAGCCCCAGGAGTTCCCGCCTTCACTTTCGGAGCATCTCCACTGCCACTCACTGTGCTGCGGCTGCCATATGGTAGGGAGAGCTGGGAGACCACCACATGGAGACTTAGCTAGCTAGCTGACCCTGGGAACAGGGGTGCAGCTAGCTAGGCCCCAGCCAGCGCCGTCACCTAGGATGGGCTGCGCCAGTGGGGAAGTCTTCCAGCTGAGCCTGGAGACAGTGGGGAAGCCCTCAGCAAGCTCCGGGGGAGGCCAGGAAGATCCAGAAACAGTGGAGGGAGGTGGGAAGATCTGGGGATGGGGCCCAGAAGATCCAAAAATGGTGGGGAGAGGGAAGATCTGGGAATGGTGGGGGGGGCATGATGATCTGGGAATGGCACGGGTGGGAAGATCTGGGAACAGTGGGGGGGTTGGGAAGATCCAGGAACCAGGGGGACAAGATTTGGGAACAGTGGGGGGGGGGAAGATCTGGGAACAGTGAGGGGGTGGGAAGATCCATGAATGTGGAGGTTAGTGCAACTCACAGGCTTACCTGTGAGCAGGCAAATCAGTGCTGCTCAGTTGGGGCACAGGCACCATGTGGGAAGGCAGGTTAAAGGCAAGCCATGAGGACCCAGTATGCCTCATAGGAGGTGAGGAGTGACTGGGCGGGATGAGCATCAGGCGGGTGGGGTGAGTGAGCATCAGGCGGGTGGGGCAAGTGAGGGAGCAGTGACTGGGTAACTGGGTCAGGAACATGACCAGCCAGAAGTCACTACCATTTCGGTGACCCTTGCCAAATCGTCGCTACTGGTTCACTTAAACCGGTGAGAACCAGCTGAATACCACCACTGTTCTGGACATGCTCAATTGTATTAATGTCTGATATACAGTATGGATTTCAGACAGCCGAGCTGTATTCAAGTATTGGTCTAGCAAAGGTTTGTATGCCGTAGTTAGAAATTCAGTATTAACAGAAGAGAAACTTCTTAAGATTAAATTTATAACTCTTCAAGCTTTTTTGGCAATGCTGCTGCAGTGAGCTCTTGCGCTTAGGTCATTAGATATGAGTACTCCAAGGTCCTTGACAGAGTGAGGTCCATCAATGAGGTCATAGCCACATAGATTGTATTTGGTGTACTGATTTTTTTTACCAGTGTGTAGGACAGAGCATTTGTTGGTCAAGATTTGGAGTTGCCAGTTGTTTGACCATTCAGACACATAATCGAGGTCACTTTGAAGGACGGTAGCATTGTCAGTGGTGTTGAATAATTTTACATCATCAGCAAAGAGGACATAGTTGCTTATAAGGTGATTGCAAAGGCAATTTATATAGAGTTTAAAGAGTGTGGGTCCTAGAATGCTGCCTTGGGGGAAACTGCTGTTAACTGGTGCAGGGTTTGATAGAGTGTTTCCTATTTTTACTACTTGTTGTCTATTTGACAGGAATGCAGTAATCCACTTATGAAGAGATTCGGAAATGTCTTAAGAGTTTAGTTTTAACAGTAGTTTGTCATGTACCACCGAGTCAAAGACTTTGGAGAAGTCTATGTAAATTGCATCTATTGCTTTACCCTGGTCAAGTAGTCCATATGTTTTTGCAGTGTAGGAGTTGCAGATTGTAGGACAATTTTTTTCTGAAACCAAATTGTTTTTTGGAGAGTAGGTTGTTTGACTCTAGGTGGAGGGTCATGCATTAGTTGATAATTGATTCCATAATTTTGCACATGATGCAACACAGTGACATTGGTCTGTAGTTTTCAACCAGGCTGATGTCACCTTTTTTGAAGATAGGGATAACCATTGCTAAGGACCATAGGTTCAGTAAGGAGCTGGTTCTCATATATTATGCTTAGGGGTTCTGCTATGGCAATGGACAGCTTTTTTAAGAAGTATGAACATAAGCCATCAGGGTCAATAGGGATTTATCTTTATATTCATCATAAAATGTGTTTTTCATTTACATAATATTATTGTATCCATTGCTAAAGAGTGTTGCTATCTTTAGGAAACCATACATACAAACAATTTTAAAATTGTATAACAACTGAAGTAGAAAGTAATGGAAAGGCTTGGAACAAGAAAATATGAGGTTAAAAAAACCAGTAAGTTTTTTAATAAGAATATTTAATAGCTAGGGCTGGACAAAAACCTTTTGTATCACTTTTGGAAACAGTCATCTAAATATGAGTGGAATCTTTACAATGTTGTATATGCAGTTTCTCCTGAAGATCACCATGATCAATAGTGAAATATGAAAGCATTTTAGAAAAAAATATATTAGCATGGGCAAAGCACATGAAAGCCTTAAATGAACTGCTCCTCTAAATGGCTTGCATAGTATTTATACACCATTGCACACTGAGCAGCAGTCTCAATATAGGAATTGTCTGTCTGCATAGCGGCTACATAGGTAGTCAGGAAGCAGATATACTATACTTGCATGTTCTGGAATTTGTAGAATTACATTATTTCTTTTATGAAGTGCTCAGAACTCAGAGCTAGGATCTGAATGTCTGATGTTTATTTGTTAAAGAAAAACTGAATGTACAAACAAATCACTCTATAGTTTAATAAACAAAGATAGCATTTCTGAGCATGTAACTATTGGTTTCCTTAGCAACTAATTATAGCATCAAATATTTAATGCTATATTACTGATGATATTAGAGACTGAATATGAAGTATTAAATATATAATATAAAGTAGTTTGGTTTAAATATTGATGATTAAATATCTGATTTTTCACATGAAATAGAAAATTATATTAAATATGCCAGCTTGAAAGAGAATGGAAGGCGGGAAATGAGCAGAATTATTACTTATGCTTAGGAAAACTAAGCAGTCAGCATTTTGAGTATTGTATTGATTATACAAGCACTATAAATCAACAGTAACATCAATTCTGTTGACTTGACTACAAAAATTACTAAAAGATGAAAAATCAAGGTATCAGGGTCTAGATCAATCATTATTAATTAAAATATATTTTCTTTTAACAAATCCTTCTTTTCTGCTTTCTTTCATCTCATGCTGGGATATTTTTGTTAATCCATAAAATATCTTTCTCCAAGGTTCCTAATTATCCACTGTACACAATAAGAATTCTTAGCTTCTCTCAGCTAAGTCAGTTCAATAATTGTTATGATTGTCATTTCCTTTTGTTAGTTTCTATAACTGCTAGGTAAGTTCTATTTCTGGAGTTGATCATAAGTTGAAAGATTTCATTTATTGCACAGGATAGCATTAAGAGCACAGACTACTTCTTGGTAAGATAGAAAAATATGGGATACACAGTATCACCAGCAGATGGATTCCTACGTGGCAGACAACCAAACTCAATGTGTAGTGGTCCTCAATGAAACTACATCTTCATGGAGGGAAGCA